ACCTTTTAATTATCAGAAAAATACTAGGTATAAGTAAATGAGGAGAAATTTTAAAAATCAAAAGAATAAGGTTGAAAAGACTTGTTTTTATTCTAAGGAAATGGCACATCAAGTTTAATTGTTCTAAATTGAAAAATAAAAATATGAACCAAAATAACAACCTTGTTCGAAATCAAATTAAGATAAAGGACTTGATCTCCGTAGTCCTAGAATCAATAGTTGCTGATCATGACTTGAGAAATTGGTGCGTCGACTCAACCTCTACTCGACATGTCTCAAGGACCAAGGATGGATTCACAGAATTGAAAGAGATTACAGCCGGTAACCAGCGGATTTATATAAGAATTGAAACCTACTACGATGTACTAAGTGTTGGTACTTTCAAGCTGTGTTTACCAGGCGGAATAAATCTCTTATTGACTGATACATTGTATGCGCCTAATAGGAGGCGTAATTTGATTTTTGTCCCAAGGCTAGATGACAAGGGTTATGAAATAATGTTCAAGTCTGGTCGGGTTGCCATTGGGAAGCATTCTAGAGCTTTGGTGTACGATACTAAAGTGAACAATTTGTACCGACTGAATATTAATGAAAATTCATCATTTTTTTGTTATATTGATGTTTCTTTTGATGCTTTTATGTGTATGGATGATTCATATTTATGGCACTTAAGATTATGACATATAAATAAAGACAAAAGGAATCAAATGATTAAAAGATGATTGCTCCCCAATTTAGGAGAAATTGTGTTCGAAACATGTGAGCCATGTATTTCTGGTAAATTAACTAATAAGCATTTCCCTAAAGGGAAAAGGTTTAGTGAACTACTTAGTATTGTTCACTCTGATATATGTGGCCTATTAAATGTGAAAACACATAGAGGTATGGAATATTTCATAACATTTATAAATGATTATTCACATTATGAATATCTATACCTAATTAGTAAGAAATCAAATGCATTAGAAATATTTAAAGAATATAAAGCTGAGGTAGAAAATCAGTTAGGTAGACATATTAAAATTCTTCGAACAGATAGCGGAGGTGAATATTACTCCGCCTTATTTTTTGAATTTTGTAAGGAGCATGGTATAATTCACCAAACAACTATGTCATATACACTACAACTAAATGGTGTAGCTGAAAGGAGAAATAGAACTCTAATGGACATGGTTAGGTCCATGATGAGCCATTCAAATTTATCACCTCATTTTTTAGGTGAAGCTCTCAACACTGTAATATATATCATTAATCGTGTTCCCACTAAATCTATAAACTTGACCCAATATGAATTATGGACAGGTAAGAAACCTGACCTTACTATCTTGAAAGTTTGGGGTTCTTGGGCACATGTGCTTATACCACCACAAAATAGAGATAAATTACAAAGTAAACTATAAAATGCTCTTTTATAAACTATTCAGAAAATTTTAAATGGTATAGATTCTATAACCATGATACTAGATCATTAATAGAGAGTCGTGATGCTCATTTCTTAGAAAATATAGATGATGAAAATATTTTAAATAAGCCTATTGACTTACAAGAAATTGATAAATATATGGGCCTGGAAGACCCTGTTTCTCATACTCCCTCTACATTTGGTTAGAATGATTCAATTGAATCAAGTATACCAGATAGGCCTAAAAGAACTAAAGCCCCACCTACGACTTTAGAAGAATTTTATGTATTTATGAATGAAGATAATTACTCTTCAATGAGTGATGATACAATAGATGAACCTCGTAGCTACAGTGAAGCTATTAGTTCACATGACTCAGCTAAGTGGACTCAAGCCATGGATGATGAACTTGATTCTATTAAAAGAAATCAAGTCTGACAGTTCGTTGAGCTCCCTAAAGATAGAAAAGCCATCAGTTACAAATGGGTCCTAAGGAAAAAACTTAATGCAAATGGATCCATTAATAAATATAAAGCTAGGTTGGTAGCTAAAGGATTTTACCCAAAGGGAGGGTACAGATTATATAGAAACTTATTCTCCAATAGAAAAATTTTCATTTATTAGGATCATCCTTGCATTAGTTGCATATTATGATCTAGAATTATTTCAGATGGATGTCAAAATAGCTTTCTTAAATGGTGAATTAAAAGAAGATATATATATTAAACAACTAGAAGGATATATAATTAAAGGCCCAGAAGACAAAGTATATAAACTTAAGAAATCTTTATATGATCTAAAACAGTCTTTTAGGCAATGGTACTTTACTTTTCATAATGCAATCACTGAAATTGGTTATATAGCCAATAGGTTAGACCATTATGTATATATTTAGAACAGTGGGAGCAATTTTGTTATATTGTCACTATATGTGGATGGTATTTTGATAGCCGGTAATGATATTGACATGATTAACCATATCAAATCATGGCTACGTTCTCATTTTGAGATGAAAGATATAGGAGAAGCCTCATATGTATTGGATATTAAGATAACAAGAGCTAGAAGTTCAAGACTTTTGTGTTTTAAAGAGATTTAAGATGGAAAATTGCAAGCCCATAGATACACATGTTTATAAAAGCTTAAAATTATCAAAGAAAATGTGTCCATTAAATGATAGTGACAAAGCTGAAATTGAAAGAATTCTATATGCTCAAGCTGTAAGATGCATAAATTATACCATATTGTGTACAAAACCTGATTTGAGTCATGCATATGGTCTTGTAAGTAGATTTTAGAATAATCTTGGGATGGCTCATTGACAAGCTGTAAAAAAGATACTCAGATATATTCAGAAAACTAAAAATTACAAGTTGTGCTTCCAAGCTGACAACTTAGAGGTTACTGGGTACTCTGATGCAGATTTTGTAGGAAACCCAGATGATAGAAAATTAACCTCAAGAATTGTATTCCTCTTTGGTGGTGGATGTGTTTCTTGGTCTAGTAAGAAACAAGGTTGTGTAACTCGGTATACTATAAAAGCCGAGTATATTGCTTGTAGCATTGCTACAACTTATGCCGTCTGGATTAAACACTTCATAAATGATTTGAAATTGGATATAGCCGACGAACCTGTTAAAGTTATTTATGATAATCAAGCTGTTATTTCATCAATTCGAAATGAAGCTTCTAGTTCCAAGGGTAAGCACATTGAAATTGATTATCATTATATTTCTGATATTATTGGAAAGAATGAAATAATTGTAAGTTATTTGCCATCTTTAGATATGATTGCTGTAACAAAGAGATTGAGTGCAGAAATATTATCAAAGCATGTAGTTTTGATGGGACTTAAAAATATTTAAATCAGGAACTCCTAAATGGGATATTTTTTTAATGTCGTGGTTATGAGAGGAAAAACCGCATTAGCGTGAAAAACCATGACATGACTTTAGATATTTTTTGTTATGAGATGTATAACCGCACTTGCGTGAAAACCTCAAGACAAAAATATGTACATAAATGTTAAATTCATTAAGTGGTAAAGACTTTATGATATTTCAATATATCTGGCCTTCATGACCGAGTGGGAGATGTTGGTACGTATGTGTAGCCATGGGGCCTTGCAGTATTTCTCTCTTATAATTTAATGCTTATCACTAAAAAAAGGAGGCTTCTTAGAGAGAGAAAGTGTTGTTATTTAACGGTTAGAAAGTAACCACCCACTTCCCAGGATTACAGAGCCCCGTTTTCTCAAAAATTTCAGGAGGAAACTGAACGTTGGAGAACAACCTCCTCCATCCCTCTTTAAGAAGGGTTTTATAATCATGAAGAGGTACACAGAAATTTACAGAATTCTTACAGTTCTGGTAAAAGCATGATCTTTACGATCGATAATCAAAAGACACTCTTAATCCTAAGAGTAAATCCATCTTTTCCCTCAAGTTTTTTCAGCATTGGTATCAAGGGTCCATCTCTTCCCTCAAGTTTTTTCACCAAAAAGAACGACCTCTTTTTGTATTATGAACTTGGAGGTGTATGAAGTACCATACTTGACTCTTACAAAGGAACGATAGACTCCATTGGGGTTGATCCAAGCCAAAAGCAAACCTACGTTAGCATGGATTAGTAGAGAATAAAGACCCTACCCGTTTTAAAAATAGTTAGTGGCTTTCGATGCATCAGTTGGAATAGAAACCTAGGTTGTAGCAAGAAGGTGCTACCACCACAATCGCAACCCCATTACAAAACATCTGAACTCCTAAACATATATTGGTCAATTCTAAGTAATTACACAGCGAGGGTGTCCGGTGTAAACCGAAATCTAGGAGAAATGTATTCAATAAGGGCCCATTTGGTTCCCTCGATTCATATTTCTGGAAGTCACATTTCAAGAAAAACCGTAAAAAGATCATAAACGGGCCATAAGCAAAGCTGATCGCTTGAGATAATGTTAAATTTTCCCGAAATTAACTGCCCTCTTGGCATACAAAACCATATAAAAATTCCAGAGCAAAACTCACAAATATGTTGAGCAATGCAGTGAAGTATATGACCCGTTCCGTGAAACACCTGAACACTACATCTCTTTAAAGCATATTATGCTAAGCCACAAATAGTTGATAGCCTTAAAAGTTGTGGTCTTCTCACCTCTTTTTTTCTTGTTTTGGTTAATTGTCTTAGCCCTTGGAAACTTAAAATAGGAGGCCCAAATAACAGACAAAACCATGGTTTTGCAAGTATGTTGCAGCAATTACCTCTCTCTCTCTCTCTCTCTCTCTCTCTCTCTCTCTCGTACTACGTACGTACTACGTACTACGTACTACGTACTTACGTTACTTACGTTACTTACGTACGTACGTACGTACGTACGTACGT